AATGGGAATGGGAATGGGGGGACAGGGATTGGGGGGACTGGGAATGGGGCTGCTGAGTCGCTCAGCCCGTGTGCTTCTGTCTTCTACACCTTGGCACGGCACCCATTTCTATTTTCCACTGCCAGAGGGCAGGGTTAGATGGGATATTGGGAAGACATCCTTCCCTGTGAGGGTGGTGGGGCCCTGGCACAGGTTGCCCAGAGAAGCTGTGGCTGCCTCATCCCTGGAAGTGTCCAAGGCCAGGTTGGAGCAACCTGGTCTGGTATAAGGTGTCCCTGCCTGTGGCAGGGGGGGGGACAGGGCTATCTTTAAGTCCCTTCCAACCCAAACCAGTCTGGGATTGTATGAGATAACAAATAAGACTGAAATAATTTAATTTTCACGCGATTATAGCACCTAACACAGATGGTATGTTTTTCCCAGACTTAATGGTGTAACCTCTCACACTTCTCTTTGCAGGGCTTGTCCCAGGCCTCCTGAACCTGGGAAACACGTGTTTCATGAACTCCCTGCTCCAGGGCTTGTCCTCCTGCCCTTCCTTCATCAGGTGGCTGGAGGAGTTCACAGCCCAGTACAGGACAGAGCAGAGCAAGTCCCAGGAGCACCAACACCTTTCAGTCACTTTACTGCAGCTCCTCAGAGGTATTGGAATGTTTTCCTCTTGTGGTAAACTAAGAATAAAATATTTACCATAAACATTATAATTTTTAGCCTTTTTTCCCAAAGAAAGAAGTTCCTGTGGTTTTATTCCCTGTTTAATTTCCCTCTGTAATTTTGAACCCCTTGGCCAAGCTCAAGCACCTTTCACAGAGGGGCAGAATTCTATAAAAAAAAGAAATCCTTAGCAAGGAATTTAAGCTTTTTTTCCCAAGATTTAAATTTTCCAAAAAATCTGGACTATTAAATGAGATACTTTGGATGATTTTGTATAAGAAAATTAAAGCCTCTGAGCTCGAGGTGACTCGTTTCAGACTTGTCCCTCTGCTAAATTCATCTCAGACACATCTTCAAAATGACCCATTGGCTCTCCCTGGCTTTTCTCACAGGGGTTTGTTTTAAAGGAAGTCCCTTGGAAGTTCTGTCTTGGGATGTTCCTACTAAAATGGTGCCAGTTAAGACGTGCATTGAGCTGCTGTGGGGATGAGGGGGCTTTAACTTGGGGGTTGCGAGCTGTGAAATAGCAATTTCCCCCCATTTCTGGCTCCCCTGACATCTGCCCATGCCCTGTCCCCAGCTCTGTCCTGCCAGGAGGTGACAGAGGATGATGTCCTGGATGCCAGCTGCCTGCTGGAAGTGCTCAGGATGAACAGGTGGCAGATCTCCTCCTTTGAAGAGCAGGTGAGTCAGGGAACATTCCTGGTCTTACCCCTGGACAGGGATAATGGACCTGGAGCTATGGGACCAACTGCCCTTGGTGTCAGAGCTGAGTCCTGCTTTAAGAAGGGATGGGAAACAACCATGGGATTGAGGGATGGCATTTACAGTTTGCTGGGATGTTCCTCATGGAAAGCCTGCCTGCTTCCAGACCTCAGGATTACCTTCAGACTTGGAACAGCAGAGCCAGGAATATTAAACCAGATTAAACCAGCCCTACCTTCCCTATGGCTGATGGATCTGTGCTTTGCTTCCAGGGATGGACTCCACTCACATTTCCCAATTTTCTTACTTGTACCATCCAAGATTTCTAACCTTTCCAGGATTTCTATTCCTTGTCAGCGTTTCCAGCCCTGGGTGCAGTTGGTCAATGAACTCCATCAATATCTCACTCATAAAATACATTCTGTATTTCCAAGGATAGATTCCAATTAAGCTTTTATTGAATTCAAGGAAAACAAGAATTTGGGCTTAAATTCTTTTATTTTTTCCTCCAAGTGTTTTAGTTTCTTGTGAGTTTATATGGCCCAGAATATCTTTAATACTCTGTGCTGATATAGAGGTTTTTGGCACAACAGGTGCACAATGGGTGTAATTAATATATTTAATATATTTATATATTTGTTTATATACTATGATTATTTATGTACTATTATTAAATGGTATTACATATTTATATTATACAACATTATTTAGTAATATTTATTATATATTTATATTACATTAATAAATACATAAGACGGGCTCTGAGCTGTGATTTTTTTCCCTGATTTCCCGGGGTATTTCAGCCCTCCTGGGGTGTGTTCTGAAGTGTTTTGGTTCTCACTGTATTCCCAGGATGCCCATGAGCTGTTCCATGTCCTGACCTCTTCCCTGGAGGATGAACGGGACCGGCAGCCCCGCGTGACCCACCTGTTTGATGTGCAGGCCCTGGAGGTGACTCCTTTCATTCCATCAGCAGGAGGAGTTCCTGGAATCTGCCTGGATTCCCAACTGTGCCAAGTGTCTGTTTAGAAGCTCAGGATATTTTTATGATGTTCACAAAGCTGCTCTTTGATAGAAATTAATCCATTTCTCAGGCAATTTAAAGAATTTAAAGAAAATGTCTTTGAATTTACACTGATCCTACTTTCCCGAGGGTTTTGCATCCCTAAATCCACTAAATGTAGGGATTTAAATACTAGCACAGAGCAGGAGTCCATCTCAGCAGTTACTTTTATAATGAAAAAGGCTTGAAAACTGCAAAATAGACATTTATGGAGGTAAAATTTATCTTATCCTCCAGTTCAGTGATAAACTTGATGGAAAGTTTCTATCTCTTTTTGCCTAAAATACATACAAAGGTATATAAAACCTCGTATTTTAGTGCTCTGAGGCAGAGAATTCTGTAGATTAATTATTCATTTTATTAACAGTGTAAATTATAAGTTTGTTTTGTGCCAGGTTTTTTTGTTCTTCAAATAAAAAGAGCCACTAAAACTCCCACAGTTGTTCTAATGCCAGAAAAGCCAATTAGCGATGAAATAGGAACATATTTAATTGTTTCTAAGGTTAATGAAATCTTTTTATCTTCCTCTGTAGCAACCAGAAACAACCCCAAAGCAAATAAGCTGCAGAACAAGAGGTAGGATTTTATCTATTCCGGAATATGAATATTCATAGGGGAGTTGCTTTGTTTATTAAGGGAATAATATTAATTGTTCTTTGTCTGTATGGGGCTGAAATACACCTCAGAAATATAAATAAACCCCCATTAATTATTAGCAGCGGGCCAGAACATGCTTTGGAGCAGTTAATTTTGTTACTGTGGGGCAAAAATGTGGAATTACAGTGATGAACATGGATGTAGGGAAAATAAAAGGGTAATTGCAACTTTGTGTTGCAGGATCTCTTCCCCCTGTGTCAAACCACTGGAAATCTCAGCATCCTTTCCATGGGAGGCTGACCAGCAACATGGTTTGCAAACACTGTGAGCACCAGGTACAAACCCAGCTGTTTTTATGTTTATTTATTTATTTATTCATTCAGTTGTCTATCTGTCTAAAATAATTGAAGGAATAAATATATATAAAATATATACATGCACATGTATAAAATGCATGTGTGAAAATATGTAATATTTTTTATATATATATGTTTTTATAATATATATTTTTATATATGTATGAAAAGGGACTTAATTTTTCAGCTGTTTATTGTGGTGTTGGTGAGGAATGAGAATTTATCACTATTTATCACTAAATGTACTGGAGGAAATGAAGTTTGATTCACTTTGTGGGGATAAAAGCTATCTCATCAAACAGAATAATAGCTGTTATCTTATATAATATAATTAATAATATTACCTGACAATGCACTCCCATGGGTAGTGGTTTAGGACTCGCTGTTAATTCAACAAGTATTAAGATTGCAAAGGGGAATTAATTTTCAGTCCAGTTATCTAGAATGAGGAGATGGAGATAACCTGGATAAAGAAAAGAAATACAGAAAACAAATCTCATTTACAGTTCAAACTGTAGGAGTTCATTTGTCCTTTTCCTTCTCTAAACCTTGCAAACAAATTTAAAGGAGTGGGAAGAGGTCCAGTAGTGCCTTAGGCCTGGTGTTCCTGGTGCTGTGCTTGGGAACTGGGGGGTTTGGATCCCATTCCACCAGGGAATTGTGGACAGCACAGGGCAGATGTTCATCCTGTGAGAGTTTGGTCGGGGTTTTTTCTGGCCTGACCTGAGTTCTGGCTCCCTGGATATGTGGAATGTTCTCTTGCAGAGCCCTGTGAGGTTTGACACCTTCGACAGCCTGTCCCTGAGCATTCCAGCAGCTGTGTGGGTATGTATCCCCCTGCTCCAGGATCCAGCCTGTCCCCTTGGAATTGTGGCTTTCTGTTCTCTAGTGCCTTTCTCAGGTGCTGCAGCCTCAGAGTAAATTTAGAGCTACTTTAAGGAGTTTCTTTTCCTGCCCTTTTATAATCCTGTGGTGCTACTGCAGGACCTTCTCACTAACGTGTTGGTGCAAATCACCAATGAGCACAACAAACACAGGGACACCAGGAGGGTTTTCTTTTTCTCCTGGTGAAGGATTTGTCCTTCCTTGGATTTGATCATATCCCAAGGGCTGCTCCCCACTGTGGGAAGGTGCCCTGCAGCTGCTCTCCCAGTTCACACCTTACCCCACACGGGCTTTTCCATCCGGTGATTTCAACTGGGAATTGTTTCCATTTCTTTTTGGCTCTGATAAACTTCGAGTGCCAAAACACTGCAGATTTTGGGGGGCAAAATGTGCAGGATATTTTCAGATTTTAACACTTTGTTATTTCATTTCTGGTAGTGGTTTGTCTTCCCAGACAGGGAGACTTGCAGTCGTGGAAGTTCTGATTCCTGCCTGCAGAGTGCACTCCTGCACAGCCAGGATTGGGATTTGGACACATCTTGTGCTATTTGGGTTTTGGTTTATACCATCATTGAAGGTGATGCCCTTCACCCCTGGCAGTGGGGTGGGACAGGAAGGAAGCCTAAATGCAATTAAAAGCTGTATTTCTCCTGTGTAGAGGCTCAGAGAGCACAAAGTGACCCCTGAAATGCTGGAACTAGAGAAAAATAGGATAGGAATCTGTGATTTAAAACCCCAGTGAAGGAGTCACACAGAGAGTCACAGCTGTTCTTACCCACAGGCTTCCATGTTTTCCATGTTTAATCCATGCTGAGGAAGGATCCCCACAATTACATTATCCACCTGCTACACCCAGAGCCATTTAGGCATTTTTTTCAGGAAATAACTGTGCAATTCTGTAGTTTCTCTGGAAAAAATTATTAAAAATCCTTTCCCAAAATTCAGTGTCTGAAATTCCTGCAAGTAACTTTGGGTTTTCTTGGCACTCAGGGCCGTCCCATGACACTGGATCACTGCCTCCATCACTTCATCTCCTCCGAGTCTGTGAAGGATGTTGTGTGTGACAACTGCACTAAAGTAGGTCGTTGGAATTTCTACAACCTTTGAGCTCAGTTTTAACCCTGCTGACACAATTCTGCCTTCAATTTTTAACTCCTTTTCCTTCATGACTCGAGGAAAGACTCTGACCTGCCTGGGATTTCAAATAGTTAACATGGAGTTCTTATCTCAGGGAATATTTTGATGCTTTATTTATTACTACTGTTACAAAACTTAAAAATGTTTTATTCTGTAATTGCCAGGTATTATTTAGATAGTATTTGGGATATTTATTTGTTCTGGTATTGTTTGAACACAAACAGAAACATCAGCTGGAGGTGGGGTTTGTTCTGGAAATGTTTCTGCTTGATTTTGGTTTGGAATTCTGATCCTTTAGGATAGGCCAGGAATTCTGAAGAAATTCCTAGGTGTCGTTAATGCCCTGAGCCCAGTTCTAGACAGACAATTTGCAGACCTGCACTATGATGTAGAATTGGACACAGCAGTAACCAAATGGCCTTATTTTATTTCCCTTCTGATTTCAGATCCAGGCAGAAGGAATTCTAAATGGACAGAGCATAGAAAACCAGAGAACAACATTTGTAAAGCAATTAAAGCTAGGAAAGGTAAGGCAAACTAACCCTCCAAACCTCTTTCTAAATCCTGTTATACAGTAACTTCTTTCTTTCATGTGTTGCTTCATGTCTGTTTCTTGCTATTATACCATTGTAATGTTTTACTTCTAAAAGTAAACTCATTTGGCAAATATTTGTGGGCATTGAGGCCTCAGTTCAGCTAAACATCAAACTCTAAAGAATGTGAATATTCTACTGTTATTCAGCAAAACACTTAAATGTGAGTTTGGCTGGGTCATGCCTTGCATCAGTTCTTGATTTCATCTATTCATAACTACTTGACCTTTTTCTCCTGTGCAATCCATTAATTATTGAGGATTAGCCCATCCCAGGAATCTCTCAAGGGTCTGAGCTATTGCCATGTCTTGGGGACGCTGTTGCCACTGAGCCCACACAGAGACAAGGGAACAGCTCAGGGATGCATTTCCTTGTCCCCTGGACTTCCCGCCTGTTTGTTTGCATTTAAAATGTGTTCTGATCCTCCTTTCCTGTGGGATGTTCCTGAAGCTGCCCCAGTGTTTGTGTATCCACCTGCAAAGGCTGAGCTGGTCCAACCAGGGCACTCCCCTGAAGCGACACGAACACGTCCAGTTCAATGAGTTCCTGGTCATGGACATCTACAAATACCGAGTTCCTGTGCAAAAATCCAGCCACAAAACCCCAGAGGAGACTCCTGGAACAAAGGATGGGACAGCAGTGAAATCTCCAGGTACTCTGCCAATAAAATATATCAAGTATTTCTACATTTCACTGAGAAAACATTCTGATGTGCAGAATGCACACAAGAGCACCATCTTATCGTGGATCTGTGCAAAGAGGACAAGGAGAAATCCCTTTCCCAGCCACTGTTCCAAAGCTACAGTTCAGTTTTGATCATTTAATTTTATCCTACTAAATATTTAAAAAATCAGAAAACATTATAAAAGATAGCAGAGAACTCACGTGTTTTATGTTCAGAGGATGAAGGAATGTTGAATTTGGAATGTGCCTGGATTTTTCTTGTTAGTGGTCTGTTCTAAGGCTCCAGGACAAGCAGAGAAGGAGTGGTGGGAATGGTGAATTCTGGAAAAACAGTTGTAAAATCCAGCTGTAGTAGGGCCGTCCTTTAGGCAGCTCAATAATCCGTTCAGTTGGGATTTTGTAAACGTGGTAATTTTTATATTTGTCATGTAAAAACAATCACTGCTGTGCTTGGATATTGCAGTCCTCTGGAGCTGGAAGGGAGTGTGATGTGTACAGAATTAGAATAAGTAAAATACATTATCATAAGTGCTGTTATTAGCAATATAACATTAGCATTTAAGTTAAATCACTGACTCTCTCCTTCCTCTGGCAGAAGCAGAACAAACCCCTGGTACCAAACCACTCTTCATGAATGGTGCCTCCTCCTCCTCCTCCTCGTTTTTAATGTCCCCAGGAACTTTTCCACTTGCTGCATTCCCTGAGTGCAGGTAAGTTAGAGATTTGTACCCTGTCTGTCCTTCAAATTGTCTCCATTTAGTCTGTCTTTGTCATGAGGCTGCACAGGCACAGAATTTAACATCAGTCCCAGCTCCTACCCTTGTCTCTTGGCTGATTTTTCGTAGTTCTTTTCTCTCCTATAGACCTCTTAAAGATTTCTTTCAAACATTTAACAAGCTGGAGATCTTTTCTAGATTTCTTTCAAACATTTAACAAGCTTGGGATCCCTTATAGATTTCTTTCAAACATTTAACAAGCTCGGGATCTCTCATACATTTCTTTCAAACACTGTATTTATTTAATGAGCTTGATTTCAGCTGCCCCTGCCATGGTTCTACTTGGTAAATCAGCCTTGAGGCTCCTCCTGATAATCCTTTTTCGCAGAATCCCAGAACTGTTTGGGTGGGAAGGGACCTTAAAGCTCATTTAGTCCCACCCCTTGCCTTGCGCAGGGACACCTCCCACTAGCCCAGGTTTCTCCAAGCCCTGTCCTTGAACATTTCCACGGGTGGGGCAGCCACAACTTGTGCTGGAATTCCACCTGTGGAGCCACATCTTTGTTCCAAAAGCAGTCGGGGGGTGCCGTGGTGTGTGTTTTCCCCGTGCTGACGCTGTGCTCCCGCAGCGCCCCGCTGTACCTGTACCGGCTGATGGCGGTGGTGGTGCACCACGGGGACATGCACTCGGGGCACTTCGTGACCTACCGGCGCTCGCCGAGCCCGCGGGGGGCCCTGGCGGTGCCCGGGCAGTGGCTCTGGGTGTCGGATGACTCCGTGCGCAGGGCCAGCCTGCAGGAGGTGCTGGCGGCCAGCGCGTACCTGCTGTTCTACGAGCGCGTCCACGGCCGCGCCCCGCAGCGCGGCCCCGAGGAGTGACCGCGGGACAGCGGCTGCACAGAGGCGGGACTGCGACTCGCTCGAACTCCTCCCAGCTCCACGTGGCACCTGCTCTGCAAACCACCCCCCATCCGAGGTTCCCCTTCCCCGGGAGTTGTGTTTTGTACCAAAAGTCGCCGCCCGAAGCCGTGCGGCCCCAAAGTGTGCGTGTGTTAGAGAAGCGTTTGTTGTGTCGGTGATTCTTGTCATCTCAGGCTTCCCAAGGCTGTGTCCCATGCCCTGACATGGCGGTTTTCCAAGGGAGATGCTCAGTCCTCCACATTTCACTGCAGGTGTTCCGAAGGGGGAGCCCTGGGAGGGGTTGGTGGGAAGCTGCTGTTGGCAAAGGCAATGATCTAAGAAACCAAGTGCCTTGAGCTTCCTTGAACAGCTGCATTGCCACTGTCTGAGCCCACTGCATGTCCAGTGTGTCCCGGGAATGCCCCACCACCATGGGATGAACTGGTGGAATCAAATTTCCCTTGATATCCCAGCTAATCAATCTGTCAAGTCAGGCATCTCCACAAACAGCCACAGTCCAAAAATTTCCCTGTTCACATAATTTTCCTCACTACTTTAGTTATTTATACATCATAGAAGTCCTTCTGCTGATTCAAAGGGCAGTTTCCTTTTCCCAGGAGGTAATTTTTTTCTCTATTAAGAGCTGAAAACTTAATTTATTGCTCCCTCTCCTTGGAATATAGCTGGAATCAGCACACAGACATGGTTGCTAGTGATCAGTATTATTTCCTTCAGCACTGTTGAATACCATTGCTTGTAGCATCGACTACAATTTTAATGCTGTGATTTCCAAGCTGCTGGAAGTGTTCTAGACTTGCCCTTCCCATTTTAGTGCTGGAAACTGCCATTTCCCACCACTGGACTGGGCTTGGACTGGCTGGGAGTGGGAGCTGAGCTGAGCCCTTGTCTTTGTTAAGTGGAATATCAACAATAGGATCAGCACTGGTAGGCACTTACTGGTCTTGTGAAGCCAGTCTGGGAACACTGGTGTCACTGCACCAGCCCCAGGCTGGCCTGTAAATAGAAGTAAGGTGAATTCTGCTGCTCTAGACTGATGTGCAAAAAAATAAAATCCCAAACAAAGCAAGGAAGGAGAAGCAGCAAAAATTCTCCTTTAAAATTCTCCTGCTTGTCAATCACCAGGAATAAAGTATGTAGGTTATTTTTAGCTCTTTTCTATCCTTGTAAGCTTGGAGGAGAAAACCACTCATCAAAGCTTTTTCAGTGTGAAACAGCAGCTTAAGTTTTCAAATAACAACTGTCTTAATAGTTTTTTAGGGCAACTTTGTACCTCATGTGTTCATATTGCTGCCCAAAGCTCGGAGGTGTTTGGAGTTCCTCATAGGAGGCTCCAAACCAGCCAAAGCAGGAATGGTAATGGATGGATATGCAAAACTATTTACACAACTCATCATTCCAGAGTATGGAGCACAATTCCTGTTCCAGGTAATGCTCATAGCACATAAATAGTGATAAATCCACTGCTGTACTAGTTCCTGGGAAGTCTCCCTGGCTGTGCTAGGCTAGAGTAGCTTGGTTTTAACCTGTTTTAAGTTATAGAAAAACAACAAGAAAGCAAACAAAAATAATATTGAAGGATGCATAATGCCAAAAAAATGCCCTGGCCACTGAAGTGAGAGCTGAGAGAGCTGGAGAAGGAGCCAGCCCTCCATACTGGAAACACTGGGGTGCAGCAGGAGCTCTGTGAAGCAGTGCAGGGGATCATCTAAAACCATCACACAAAACCTCTCCCTCCAGCAGATCAGCCATTGTACCTCAGAACTCCAACCATTTCCACTGCCAGCAGTGTGTACCCTGCAGTATCCATTCTCAACACTCTGTTTAGAGGTTTTATCTGCATTTTGGAGTCCAGCTGAGCAGACGTTTGGTTTAGAACACAGTCAAGCTGGAGGTGGGGCAGAGGATACGCACAGTGTGGGCTGTCTTGAATTTGTCAGGACAGGGACATAAAGTCACTTCTTACTGCACAGTCCATGTATTTTCTCTTGCAAAGAGCTGCATTTGCCTTGGCTGTGAGTTGACTCTGGAAGCTCCCTCAAGGGCTATCAAGGGGAGGGATGAGTAGTCAGCATTTGATCCAGCTTTCTCTGTTAGGAAGGAGGAGATGGAGCAAATATCAGCACCTCAGTCCTAGTCCTGAGCTGTGCAAGATCCTCCCACAGCCCACTGTGAGCATCAGACCTGGGCAGGGGTTTGTGAGCCAACCCTCCCCTTTGAGGTCACAGGGCTCTGTGGAGGCACGAGGCTCAAACGCTGTTACTTGTCACAAGCTGCCATGGTAGAGAAGTTGTTAATAAAATGTAAAAAAAAATTAAGACCTCCAAGATGCCATCTGTGTGTTTGGGTTATCCTTGTCTCATTTTGCGTGTTATTTAAAAATGTACATTCTGGTCAAACCACTGCACTGCTGTTTGAAGTTGCATTTTCACTTCAGGGTATTTTTGTAACTGTACAGTAGCAATAAAAACCCAAACTTATTACAAAAAATCACCTGTGTGGGAATTGAAATTAAAATTATGTGTGGGAATGTCTTGAAACATAATGGAGCCACCACTGAAGGCCAGAGCCCACCCCTAATTCCAGAGTTAACACAGGGTTTGGTTTCCGTTTTCACTCAGAACTTACCATTACTTGATTCCTCAAGACCTGTTGCTGCCTGGACAGACTTCCCTCATTCCAGCAGCTTCCCTGTGAGCATGGAAGGGGATGGTTTTCAGGGAGTCAGGATGGGCTCCCTAGGGATAATTATTTAGGTCCATGGAAATGGTCCAGCCCAGTTCTTCCCCAAAAGGTCATTTTTTGCTGCCTGGTTTTGGTACAAAGGACCTGAGGAAGGAGAGACCCTTGTGCTTCCTTGAGCACAAGGAACACCCTCCAGCAGCAGAGGAATTCAAGCAGACAAGAGTCACAGTGACTGAAACACTCAGCCAGCCACACTGCACTCACTGTGCTCACACCTCAGCACTCCTCCATGTCAGTCTCATTTGTACTTTATTTAAATAAAAACCCAAACAATCTAAAGCTCATTGAGAGAGAATACAGAAAGTGTCACCTGCTAAAGAGTATCAGCTTTAAATGATTACAGCTTGTGCTGTATAGTGTTTGTAAACTGTAACTCGAGGCTATGGAGTATTTTAATTTTTTAGGAGCACTAATTAGATTAAGATCAGCTGAGAACAAACTTCCTCCTGAGCAAAACAAAGGTATTATTTACCAAAAATATTTATCAGCAGCATTTCACAGAGGGAAAGCCATCTTGGCATCGAGATCAGTGGTCACAGGCTTTATTAGCAATTACCAAGTCCACTGTCTCTCAGTTCAGTTTGCTCATCCAGTCCCTTGGATCACCACAGCCAGTGTTTGAATGAGGAACCAACAGGTCCACCAGGAACTAAAGCTTCTGTTTTCAGTCAGAAGTCACTGATGGGTGGATATTTCTCTTTCTGTCCCCAGCCATGACTTTCCTGAAGGTGAGGTTGACCCTGGGGGTGATGACCCTCCTCCTGGGGGGCAGGCTGTGGTACCAGTACACGTTGGTGGGGTGGTTCATCATGAGGAGGCTGCCGTGGGCCAGCTCCAGCTTGATCCGCTCCAGGCCCCGTTTCACCCCCTTCCTCCTGCAATCCCTGTGCCGGAAGATGAAATCCCTGCACGCTCCAAAGGACACGGATGCAATGGGACTGCGGGGAACCAGCTCGCTCTCATCATCTCGGTGCTCCCCGATGTGGTCCAGGCCGTCTTTGTACCTGTGCACAGAGCACATTCGTTAGTTCCACCAACCCAGTTAAGTGAATGTCAACCCCTCAGCCGTTTGCCAAGTGCTGCACAAGCTTTTTTCATTTCATTTGAGCCACAAGCTGCTTGATGCAAGTGGGAACCAGCTGTACCTGTTGATAAGGACAAAGTTAAAGGTGTGTCCTGTGGCCAGAGTGATTCGCTCCCGGATGCGGTTCAGGACTGGGATCCATGGCTTGGGATGGAAGGTCACACCTGAGTAAGTGTAGGACAACTCAGGGTCTCCGTAGGTCACCTGCTTCCTTGGGATGTTGTGCCACGTGCCAAATATGTGCAATTTTGTCAGGTCACCTGTTCAAACAAGAAACGAGGAGGATCAAAACCAAACCCAAGTCTGTGCTACCTCTGCACAGTCCTACATTCTCCTGGATCTGCAGCTTCTGGGAATTTCCAGACAAGAGAAATGAGGATGCTTATGATAACCCACAAGCTGTCATCCCTGTTCCCTGTGTTTCTGTCCTGACAAAGGTGGACACCGCCTTGTTATCTCCCTTAAATGAGATAAACAGAACCAACATCCCCATCACATTCTGCCATTGAATTAATGTAACAGGACATATTTCATAAATTGCCTCTTCCAACAAACTCCAGCCAGGCTTGTCCCAGTTCTCTTAAAAGTCACCGAAACCACCTGATGAACGCTTCCAGTGGAGCAAATCCAACCCTGCAGGGTCACACCTGCGTTCTCAGCTTCTAAGGGCCAGGCTATGCCAACACCAGGTGCCTGCAGAACCCTCCCCAGCTGTGCCCAGGCCCTGGGATCGCTCTGGGACTCACCTTGGCTGGGCTGGGCAGGGAAATACTTCCCTGGGCAGAGTGGGGGGACGTGTGGGGGGCCCAGAGCTGGACACAGAAGGGCTCAGGATGGAAGGGAGCGCTGGAGCTCATCCAGGCCACGCTCAGGTCTCCCAAAACACTGTCCAGGCTCCCTGGGAACATTCCCAGGGACGGAGCCTCCGGAGCCTCCCTGGGCAGCTCAGGCTCCCCCACAGGGCAGGAGGTTACCTTCGAAATACTGCACCTCCTCCTCCAGCTGCTGGAAGATCTCGTCGGCCTCGGCCTTGGCGAAGAGGATGCGATAGTCACAGTGCAGCCCCTCGGCGCGGATCTGCGCTGGTGCCGCCCTGCCCGGTCTCCGCCGCGGCACTGCCTTCCCGCCACGCCCCCGCCTCGGAACCCATAACCACAGAACTCTCCATGGGCTGGCACCGGTAGCGACTGTCCACGAGGACGACGGAACACGGACCGCGATTGTCCCCTCCCCTGCCCCGCCGCCCCCCCCCCAGCGCACGCGCGCTGTTTTGGCGCCAAACCCAGCCGTCCCCGCCCCCCTCCGCTGATCCGCCGCTGCCGCCCCTCACTCAGTCATTCATTCGCTACCTCCCTCCCTGTCTCGCTCCGCGCTTCCAGATCCGGCAAGGACGCTGAACTGCATCTTCAGCCCCCGCCCGCCCAAGAAGCGCGGCACGCTCCCCGAGCCGAGCAGATGCTGACCGTAGCGACGGGGCTAGGAGCCGGTGTGGAGAGGGGGAGAAGGATAGGAGGTTGCGCGCCTATGTGTCTGGCCAGTGTGTGGTGTGTGGCTTGTATTATGATTCTGGGGGTTCTGGCGGCCTTTTGTGAGGGAGGTATGGGGAGTAAACACCACTTCCAAATTCCCGCGCGGCTGCACGCGCGACTGAGCTGCCAGTCAAGCGGCCACGCTCCGCCGCCGCCCAATGGGCGGTGAGAGGCGCGCTGTCGTCACGATTGCTGGGTAGAAAACCTCTCTGCCCGCCGTGGTGAGCCAATAGAAAGGAGAAGGCGCTTTTCCGCTGGCCAATAGCGAGCGGAGTTTTTGCCTCGCGTCCTGCGGGACGGCCGCGCCGCCCGGCGCAATGGGTAAGGCCGCAGCTCGTGTTCTTGCCGCGATCGCTCGGTGCGGAGGGGCCCGCCCCGGTTCGGCTTGTCCACGCCATGGCCGTGCTAATGTCGCGGCTCCATGCCGCGCCCGCCCTCTCCGCATCTTCCACTCTCCGTGCCCGCTGCTTCCAGGTGAGCGCCGCCAGAAGCGCGAAGGCGATCGGAACTGAGTGCGGCGCGGCGCCGTCGCAGCGAGCAGCAGCGGAGCGCATCCGCAGAACAAGAAGGCCCGGCGCGCAGCTGCTGCCGCAGCGAAACGATGCCGCCGGCTTCCGGACAGGCTGGCGCCGCACTCGCCGGCGGCGTTCTCCAAGCCATACTTCGTGGAGGTGAGTGAGCGGCTCCCGTGCCCCTCCCCGAGCGGGCGCTGCGCCCCCTCGGCCCCCGCTGAGCCCTCCTTTGCCCCCGCAGCTCATGGCGTTCGTGGCCGAGGAGAGGAAGCGCTACACGGTGTATCCGCCCCCCGAGCAGGTCTTCACCTGGACGCAGATGTGCGACATTTGGGATGTGAGTGGAGGTGCAGGGGCTGGGGAGGGGGGTTCGGGGTCTCTCACCGTGAAAATGCAGGTTGGGTGCCCAAGCACGTTAGTTCAGTGTTTTATCCCTTAAACTTCAGTCCCACGGGATGTGGATGTTGTTGTTTGTCTCACCTAACTCACAAATTCTGCCTTCCCTTTCATCTCTGATACCATAACAGGGTTTTATTGTTTTATTACCCACACAGGCCACAGAATTTCCTTTGAACACATAGTTGCACTTTTGATCTTTTTCTAGTATTACCAGCTTTATCTACTTCATAGTTTTTGGATCTTGTACGTCCTTTGTTCTTTTAATTGATCTGTAATGAACTATAATTAAAAGAAGACACCATAAGGTAATGTAATTTCCAGTAAACTGTGTCAAAAATATCACAGTAAATGTGGCACAAAGCTAAAATAGGGTGAAACCTATTTGGAAAATATTTCAGCAAGGTGTTGTATTGTGGCTCTGAAAATGTTGGTCTTCTACAGTCAAATCATATTAATTGTATTCATAATTTTAGCAGTAAAGCTGTGGTTATGTTAATCCTTCATGTTAGGTGGAGTCTGTGCTCTTCAGCTTGTTAATAATGAGATGTCTGGGATTAACTTCAGTTCCTGGGTTTGGGTTGGGCCTTTTTTGTCTCTCTTTTAGGTTAAAGCTCATTTATAAACCTTTTTTTTTTCTACTCTTTTGGGAATAAAGCTGATTTCAATTCAGTCCTAACCAAGGTCTGCTTTCAGGTGAAGGTTGTAATTTTGGGACAAGATCCATACCATGGCCCTAACCAAGCTCATGGGCTCTGCTTCAGTGTCCAGAAGCCTGTTCCACCTCCCCCCAGGTAGGACAATTAGCAAAATCCCTTTTGGTCACAAATTATTTGTAGTTCTGTGTCGCTCAGGGCTGGGAGCCAGAAAATTGATGTGAAGAGTTGTGCAACTACTTAAATTTGAATTGTGCATCGACTGGAAAAAAACATTACTGCAAAATATGGGTAATTATGTATAATTTGGTGGTATTCTGGATGTAAGTTTGCATTTCCAGTTGTGCTGAGACCTCATTAAGATTCCAGCTGGACACACAAAGGGAGTCCTCACTGCCCTGCCTCTACAAATGGCTTTATTGTCTTAAATAATAAGATTAAAATCAATACCTTCTTGCCTGGTGTAAGAGCAATAAGTGGTGCTGCTTGGTCTTGTCTTTAAATATGAATATAAAAAAAAATTATGGTGTTTTTTGTTTGCAGTTTAGAAAATATTTACAGGGAGCTCTCTACAGACATCGAGGGCTTCACTCATCCTGGCCATGGGGATCTGACAGGCTGGGCCAAGCAAGGTGAGCTCAGAGACATTCAATTATGTGGTCACTGTGGAGCAGAACAAAAGCCAGTCTAGAAAACAGACCTGTGTCTGGAAATGATCCATTTGTAGGACAGAAAATCAGTTCTGAGTAACTGTTGTTTGGCAGGTCCCTTAGAATGAAAATTGAATTTGTTTCTGAAGGGAAACTGGAAAAAGCAGTTAGAATTATAAAATCCTGGAATGGTTTGAGTTGGAAGGGATTTAAAGCTCATCTTGTTCCACCCCCTCCCATGGGCAGGGACACCTTCCACTATCCCAGGTTGCTCCAAGCCCCATCCAACCTGACCTTGGACACTTCCATGGGTGGGGCAATCACAGCTTCTCTGGGCAACATCTGCCAGCCCCATCTTCCCACCTTTCCAGTCTTCTAGGTCCCTATGGATCCATCCCTTCCCTGCAGGATGTGACCCCACAACACAACTCAGTGTCATCAGCACCTTACTTCCATCCAACCTGACCTTGGACAATTCCAGGGCTGGATTAACACTTGATTTCTTGTTTCCTCTCCTGTCCCTGTGGTGTATTTCCCAGGAGTGCTCCTGCTCAACGCTGTGCTCACTGTGAGGGCTCACCAGGCCACATCCCACAGGGAGCGGGGCTGGGAGCAGTTCACGGATGTCGTGGTGTCCTGGCTCAACAAGAACCTGAACGGGCTCGTGTTCATGCTGTGGGGAGCCTATGCCCAGAGGAAAGGCAGCTCCATCGACAGGGTACAGCCTTTCCCTGATTTTCCCTCAGTTAGGTGGACACTAGAGGGCACTTTCCTTACAGGACTGGGAATTTTGCCTGCCTGAATTCTGTGAATTGAGTGACCCTTCTGCTCCAGCTTAGCCTTTTCCAGAATTGAGCAAGCGAACTGGAGCAAGTGTAACCTCCTGTTGTCAGCAAAGTGTCCCACTGGGGACAGAGCTGTTTTTCCTAGGAAAAGGCTCATGAATCAGAGTGAAATTTGCTGTTGGGAAATGACTGGGGCGTCGCTGCTTTACATAGTCCATCTCTGCTCAGTGGGACAGAAGTCTCAGCCTTCATGGCTGGTTCTTTGGTGTCAGGCTGGTATTGGAGGAGGTGTAGAGGGGAAGTCACATTTGGGTGGTGCAGGAGGAGGAGTGGAGGGGAAATCACATCTGCCTGGGGCAGGAAATCACATCTGCCCAGGGCGGGAGCAGCCAAAACCATGCAAATCTAACGGGCGGTTTCCTCCAACGTTCGCAGAAGCGCCACCACGTCCTGCAGACGGTTCATCCCTCGCCCCTCTCGGTCAACAGAGGATTTTTCGGCTGCCGGCACTTCTCCAAGACAAATGAATTCCTCAAGAAATACGGGAAGAAGCCCATCGACTGGAAAGCACTCTGAGCACCTCCTGGGTGTCGGGATTGGGAGCGGCCCCTGTGTCAGGGGTTGGCTCATTTCTGACAAACTTCTGCTGACCTGAGAATTGTTCTTTGGATGTTGATCAATGAACAAATGCCTAAACTTTCACTTTATATATATTCTAAAATGTTTATTTTTCAAGAGCACGTTGGAGTCTTTGATAGGCAAGTCTGCCCTTGGAGCAGGTCTCAGCTTCATTTGGAGCAAAACAATGCCCAAACACCAGAGTTCTGTATCAATTTGTGGTTGTTGTAATGGGAATATTTTTTCAGGCTCTGGTGAAGGGATGTCACTTCTTACAGGTGAAGCTGCTCAACTTTTGTACATGCCCTGCTGCCTCCTGCCTCTTTGCCTCCCAGGCAGATCCAGGTTTCCTCTTTGGGGGTTTGGAGCTGACTCCCTGTGAGGAAAAGAAAGATGCTTTTGGTTTTAGCTTTTTTCTACAGATTTGTTACAAAAATGGCCTCTTGGGGCTGTAAAGACAATACACTGTCAGGAGTGTTACTTGGTGTATCCATACTCTAAAGATTTTTGGGATAAATCCTCCCAGAAGGGAAGGCTGTGACCAAGGCTCTGGTCATGCTCTTGAGTTTTTTGTTGGCATTTAGAGAGGAAAATCAGTTTTTAGGTTCTTCCTTGGTGTATAGATCACCTGGATGATGGTGAGCTGTGCTGACCATGAACCTGGGGGTACCTGCTGATGGCAGCAGCAAAGATTTGTTCATCATCTCCCAATTGATGGGCTGATAGTTTCAAATTATTTCAGATATTTTAAAGTCTTAGAGGGAACTTTGTGTTTTGCCACCTTAGGAGCAAATTAAAGTTTCCAGCTACTGTTAGCAATAACTGTTGGGACTTCCAGGATGAAGTGATGGACTTCACAGTCCTGGGTTTCCAGCTCATCTTTGACTTTGTAGTTCCTTTTCAAGGAAGTGAAGTGCCCTTTTTGTTTGGAAATTACATCAGTTTTTATAGAGTATCCCTGTAAACCTTCCTTTGGTATTTGCTCCGAGGTAACACTATCAACAGTGAAGTTTACACTGTCTGTGGCCTTGCTGTATATTTTGTTTGCTTTGTTTTTTTCCCCAGTTTGTTTTGTTTTTAAATAAAAATGACATTGTTTATGTGGTGTTAGATTGGGAGGAACAACAACACAGGGAGGGAGGGAGGCTCTGGTTCTTCAGTGGGTGGAAGGGGAGTCCCTGCTCCTCTCAGGGAGATAAACACAGGAGCTTGTCCTTTTCCCTGTCCCCATGACCAGGCACAGGGCCAGGGTACCTTTGTCCCCCAAGGATCGGGTGTCCTGGGCCCTCCCTCCCTCTTTCCACCCTCATCTCCAGCAGAAGTTTTCCAGACACGTTAGCGGGGAAATATTTGTGCTTGACGTGACAGTCACGTGTGAGACGCCACTGGAACACCCCGGGGGGGGCCTGGGCCGTGCTTCCCCGGCGGAGTGGCCCTGGCAGCGGGTGGGATTCAGCCTGGGCGGGACAGATGGACACAGGGAGTGATCACTGAGAGCAGCGTGACCGGGAGAGCAGCTGGAATTGTCCATGTCGGTGTGAGGGGACGCGCGGGTCGGCACCGATGGTGAGTGACCTTTCTCGGGGCTGAGGGGGCCGTGGTGGTTTTCACTCCCTGCCATCCCCAGTTTGATGGGGATGATCGACCCGACTTGTGGAGATTTGTGGGTTCCACTAAGGCCCCCCCATCTCTGAGGGGCCAGGCTGGGGGTGGTGGGGTGGCCTTGCTGCCCTCCTGAGGGTGCTGCCAGTGGCTGGGGGGTGGGAGGCCATGTCAGCCCCTCAGAGTGGGGCTGCACCTCCATTGCCCCCTCACAGCTCCTCCTGCTCCAGTGGGTGCCCCCTTCATCCCTCACAGCTCCCCCTGCTCCTGTGCCCCTGTAGTCCCATCACAGTTCCCCCTGCTCTGGTGCCCCCATCACCCCTCACAGCTCCTGCTCCTGTGCCCCCATTATCCCCTTACAGCTTCTACTGCTCTGGTGCCCTCATCATCCCCTCACAGAGCTGCTCCTGTGCCCCAATTGCCCCCTCACAGCTTCCCCTGCTCTGAGCAGGTAAAACAGCTCTGGCTGAGCCTGTGGTCACCCTGGTAATGCCTGGCCTGGCACTGTGGGGGCTGTGGGGTGGGGAGGAATGGGGAAGGGGCCGTTGTGTTTGGGGGGTTACTGCCATGACTCCAGCTGATGAGGGGCTTGGGTTCTCCATGACTGAGGTTCTCCCCCTCTCCCAGGGCTGGTGAATGCTACTGGTTGCCCTTCTCCTGCTGCTTTTGGTGCTGCTCATTGGGGCCACAATGGCCAACCTTCCATGCAAGGTGGAGGAGAAGCTGGAGAAGACCCTGGAGCAGTCTTCCGCAGCTAAGCCTCCATCCCAAGTTAGCCCCCCGGACCCCCACCCACCTCCAAGGGCCACCAAAGCCGTGGCCGGGGAGCAGGAGCAGCTGGCCGTGTACAACCCCGCTGCCCTGCGCCGCCCGTCCCTCGCCAAGTTTGTGCTGGGCTCCTTTGATGACAATTCCGATGACGAGGTGATGACCACGGCCTTCAGGGTGGGCCGGCGGCGCAGCAGCCTGGCTGGGGTGGGGGGCACCATCCCCGAGTCCCCCGCTATGACCACCTCGCTGGAGCCTCCCAGGGGCATCAGGTACGGTGCTGGGGCTGGGAATGCAGTGGGATGGCTAGGCTGGAGATGGTGGATGCATTTCTCAGGGAACCTAGTACTAAAATTGGAGTGCACATGCTTCTTGAGTCCCCCAAGTCGATGTCCCCCTCCAACTCCCTTTGGGGCAGAACCCCAGGGAGAGCCGGCGTCCCCAAGCGCTGTGTGACAGCAGCACCATGTGCATGAGCGTGGCAACGACCAGGGCAGGAGGTGCTTCCCCAAAATCACTGTTTTGGATATCAAACAGGATGGAAGGGCCCCAGTCTTGCTGCCAGGGTCACTTTGCTTCTGCTATGGGGCGATGCTAAGACACTCCTCGTATTGTATGTGGGGAAATACATCCCTGCAGGACTGGAGTATGTGGGATGCTCCTGTGCTGTTCCTGCAAGTCTATGAAAGTAGCTCTTTGGTGTTTTGTGATGAATTGATGAGAACTAGATGAGCTTTGGGCAAATTCACAGTGACTTTTCCCGGTACTGTCAGGGCTGTGGGGCAGCTCTCTGCTGGTCTGCACCAGTCAGCTCCCATGGGAGCGCAGCTGAGGGCCAGCAGGAACAACTGGAAACCAAGTTCTGCTGCCCAGCTCCTCTGGCTGCTCTGCTTGGGTTAAAAATAACACCTCTTTGGCTGTGGGGACGTGTTATGACACTACAGCCTGGCAGTGACTCTTGCTGTGCTGGGTTTAGGGTGGGCTCACAGAGCTGCCAGCGCTATCCCTTCTGCTTCTCTGTGCTTCCACATACAAGGAATGTCCTTATGTCCTGCCTGAGTCATGTTATAGACAGGGTTGTGGTTTTCAGGAGGGGATGGGCTTTGTGGTGGGTTTGGGGCTGAGGGAGGGCAGATAAACCTGGCACTGTCCGGTGGGGTGCTCCAGCTACTCAGAAAATACCCTGAGTGCAGGCAGAGACTGGGACATTTGCCAACATCCCAGAAGGGTTTGCATGTATCCTCTTAAAATAAATGTGCCAAGTGCTACTTGTACAAAATCTGCTTGTCTGAGGGGGTTCCGGGGGTGGTCCTCCCTCCTTTGTTTATTTATAGCTCACTTATGGAATAACAGCGAAATATCTGGCTGAGCTATGAGGGGGGATGTGAACCTGCTTCAGAATTAGAAGTTGCTTAAAACTCTGGGCAGAGCCATGGGAAGGCCCAAGCCTGGCTGCACCCCTCAGACGCTGGGTGCTTGTGCCATGGGGTTTGGAACATGCCCTGTTCGGCCTAGAGACATGGCTGTGGGCTCGCTGGGGTGGCTGTGGGCTCATTGGAGTGGCTGTGGACACACTGGGGTGGCTATGGGGTCAGTAACAGCCATCACATCCCACCGCAGGCCCAGCATGTCCGGGACACACCTGCCGAAGCCGGGCCATGAGCACAGGAAGATGGATCTGCAGCGGGACTTCTCCGTCGCCTCCCCGGCAGAGTTCGTCACCCGCTTTGGGGGCAACCGTGTCATTGAGAAGGTCTGTCCCCACACACCCCTGCCTGGAACTGGGGGGGAGGTCACTGCTTTTCACAGGGACACCCTTGAGCACTGCCCAAGAGTCCCATGTCCATTGGGCTCAAACTGATGGCAGCCCAGGGCAACCCAAAGCTGTTCATCGCCCAGCTTCTCATGGGCTGGGAGAGGGAACACCACACAGAGGCTTTGGCTGGTGGGCACAAACGATGGCTGAAGTCCCATCCTTGGTTATCCCCCAAACATAGAGATGCTGCTGAGGAGCCTCCTGCTCTGCCAGGATGTACTGTCAGGAAGTGCCCGGTTAACACATCCACCCTACTTTGCCCCACATCCATCGCTTGTCCCCTTGCTGCCATCCCTGGAGGCCATACTCCCTGTCCTGCACCCCAGCAGCAAGGAGAAGGTCCACCCTGCCACTCCCTGTCCCATCCCCAGGTCCTCATTGCCAACAACGGCATCGCTGCCGTGAAGTGCATGCGCTCCATCCGCCGCTGGGCATACGAGATGTTCCGGAACGAGCGCACCATCCGCTTCGTGGTCATGGTCACCCCTGAGGACCTCAAGGCTAACGCAGGTAATTCCTGGAAGCATCCCAGGAGACAAGTTCCCTGCCTGGGGCTGAGTGGGGGCAGCTCTTTCCTGCCTGGGATGTGAGGGATCTGCATAGCCCAGGGTCACAGACTTTCCTCCTGTGCAGTCAAATTTGGGAGGAAATAATTTTCCTCCCCTCCAGCCTCGCTGGGGTGGAGGATTTGAGGGGGAGGTGCAGCTCGTGGGACTGGCTCCCAGCACCCCCACGTGCTGTCTTGCAGAGTACATCAAGATGGCAGATCACTATGTGCCCGTCCCCGGTGGGACCAACAACAACAACTACGCCAACGTGGAGCTGATTGTGGACATTTCCAAACGGATCCCAGTCCAGGTAGTGGCCACTCATGTGTCTCCCACTTCTTTGCCAAGGGAAGCTGCTGGGCAGAGGGGCCACCCCAAAATGGGTGATGTCCCTGTGTGCCGACGAGCTGGGCACAGCGTGTGGCCAATGGGAGATCCAGCACAGGGGTAATGCTCCCAATGCTCCTTCTCCGTGTGCCAGGCGGTGTGGGCTGGCTGGGGACATGCCTCGGAAAACCACAAGCTGCCAGAACTCCTGCAGAAAAATGGGATAGCTTTCCTAGGTAAGGTCTCATTGCTTCCTTGTCCTGGAGGGAGCAGCAGGTGTTGGGTTGGTGTGTGCACACATTCTCGCTCCCAGGGACACTGCACTGGGAATGCCCCCTTGGTGCCTCTGGCATGCCCACCCTGCAGAGTGGCAGACCCCAGGCTGGTTTCCTGCAACATTCCCAGGAATCTCACTGTTTTCTGAGTTTTCCCTGTAATTCTTGAGCTGATGCAGTGTTCATGGAAGAATGTTAGGTGGGAGTAAACCTCATGGGATTCCCAGCCAGGGTCAGCCTGGGCTCCCCTTGGAGAAGGGTTGAGCTCCATCCTGAACTGGGCAGTGGGTCTGGGGGTGTTTCCCATGCCTCCACTCCTTGCAGGAGGGCTGGTGGTGCTGACTCAGTGGGGAGCAGCTCCCTGCAGCCTCCATATGACGGGAATGGGCCTATAGGGTTGGACTGACCCCCTCACCCCTTCCCTCCTCTCTGAAGGTCCCCCCAGTGATGCCATGTGGGCGCTGGGGGACAAAGTCGCCTCCACCATCGTGGCTCAGACGCTGGATATCCCCACACTGCCATGGAGTGGGAGTGGTAAGAGCCCCTCACAGCCCCCACATCCTCCCTGCTCCCCCACTTCCTCTCCCTGCCTTTCTTTGCCCCCTGAACAAACACCAAGGTTGGGGTCCCTGGCCTGGCTGGCTGCAGGTATTGGGGACCCCACTGCAGCTGTTGGTTTGGGCAGAGGGGTTTCTGGAGATGGGATGCATGGAAATGGGAAATGGTGTGTGCCAATGCAGAATCCCCAGCATTCTGG